GGGGGGGGGGGGGGAATCAACCACATATTTCAAAATTTCAGCATGTTCTTGAAACTTCTCAAAGTCAAATTGTTGCCTTTATTTTGGGGCGGAAGGAGTGTGTGTTTAGAAATATTCATTGTTATTAGAAAAATGCTACTTTGTCTCCACTCTCCAGCTTTGCCTTTACCCCATATTCACTTCACACGGACGCTCACATACACGAGTTCATGGACACGACCACACATCTGTCTCGTGAAGAAAAATAGGGTGGGGTCGAGTTGGGGGCAATGTTGGACAATTCTTGATCTCTTCTTATAGTAAAGGGCATGTGAGAAATTTATTTAAAGTTCGTTATTTTAAAAGTGGGATATTGATATCAATTTTGCATATCAAGAAACAAATGACTCGAAGAAGACAACAATAAACTACCAAAATAGAAAGATGAGAATACTATACTATGGCATGAAATGGCCTGCAAAGATTCAAGAAATGTTGCTACCATCAGAATTGATACTCCGGTAGAATTCAAAACTTTAGATTCAGAGCCTGATATCCTAGAAGTGAGTCACATGACCAATTGAGGGACTATCACAGTTCAAGACACTGCTCTTAACCAAGCAGCCATCTACCAAATCTTATGAACTCTTTCTATATGTTAAGAACAAGTGTTAATAGTCTAATGCTCAGCAGCATACTCCCTAATGTCCCATAAAAAGGTTCTACATTTCCTTTTTTGTTAGTCCACAAAAAAAGGTTCCACTTTCTACTTTTGGAAACATTTTTGTGGTCCATATAAGTTCTCTCTCCTCTACACCACTTTCAACCACCTGATTTTCCTTTTCTTAATCTCTGTGTCAAGTTAAACGTGGAACCTTTTTGAGGGACGTAGTATAATCAACCCTCAACAAAAATAAAATAATAAAACTTTTACATTAAAAAACAAACAGGACGGAATCAGTTTAAGAAAAATGGAAAAGAATGCACAATACCTGCATTACTGAGAAGAGCACACAAAGAACATAACTCTGCATCACCATTGAAAAATAAATTGTCCCCACCATGCTGCTAACGAACCCCGCTGTAAATGGAAGCCTCTGAAAAGGAAAGACCTTATAAGACTAAGACAACACATTTTGATGCTAGATAAAAAGAAAAGGGAAACTATGTGAAGTAGAACAGTTTGATCGCATTCGAGATATCAGGGTCCTTTACAGTCTCTAAAGTCTAAACTGCAATTTATAGATCTACAGAATTTTCAGTTTCCTCGTTTTTTTTGTTTCATGGGCTTTAGTCAGCTTCCTAGCCTATTTTGGACTCATTTTATCATTAACCATCGTCTTATTACTGCACCATTGTTGAATTTCATTGTTAGTCACTGTTTATCCTATGGTTTCTTTTTCTCACATATAAGCAACCTTTCAAGGCTATAGAACTAATTTTTTATCTTACATTCAATTAAATAGATGATTTTCTCTTAATTCTCAGGTGGAGTCCAGAACACTTTTGTTTAGGTTCATCACTAGCACATCTAGGTTATCGTTCCGGCAGTAAGCTATGCAAGTAAGTTAGCACATCCATAATCTACAGCATTAATAATGGGAACAGTCATCTTCATAATTTAGCATGTTACTGTGAAGAGTATTTTTACTCAATAAATTATATGTACAAGGCAGTTTATAAAAATACAATGATGATATTATGATCACATAAGGAATAATGTCATCATGACATACTCTATGAGCAAAGCATGATAGCAAAGCTAGTATAAAAGCATATCTATTTTCACACTTACCTCTTTTGATATCATATGTGAAAGTTGATTTTTAGGACCTTTGAGGGCAAAGAATGAGCCAATAATAAAAGAGCATCCAATAGTAAAGCAAATAGCAAACTTTTGAGGCATTATGACCATGACAGGAAGGAACATGGTGAATGCCAAAAAGATGAAAAATACTCCAGCACCAAGGAATAGCCCAAAGTACATCAAAGCCTTTCCAGAAGGAACATTACTTGTGGCAGACGGAAAGTTCCCTGGTAAATCTCTTACTCCTTTAGAGACCCTATTTGCAAAATAGCATACAAAAAATGAATAAATAAACAACCAAATATTGTGATTCAATAGCGCTAATGATGGTATTATAATGCCTTATAGACTTCCATGTATATCTCAAAATTTCATGTAATAGTTCTGGTTGGCTTTACATTCACTAGGTCTGTTCATATCTGTTTTTTAGGACTAACTTGGGTACTCCCATTTAGCCCTCGTGTCATTTGACAGTTTCAGATGGAAGAGGATGGGCAGAAAGTGGATAAATGGTATGCATTTGGTTAGGGAAGTTAGGGGAAGGGAAAGTAGATGAGCTATGGACCTCCAAGCTCCTCATATATCACTATCTCATTTGGGAGAGCATTTTGTTCTTCTTTTAATGTTTATCAAAACAGTTCTACATTGATTTTATGACTATTAAGAGAGAACTTCTAAATTTGTTAGTGATAGAGTGTCTTCAATTATTTTCCCCACCAATCTTGAGTTCTATCAGTTAGGCTTTGGATGAATTAGGCACTCGTTAGGTGGCTTCTAAGCACTCTAGAGCGTTTTTATCCAACATTTGATTGGTGAGCACTCCACTTCTTTTGGTTCTCATAGAAAAAAATCACAAGGCCTGTTCATATCTGTTTTTTGGGACTAACTTGGGCACTCCCATTTAGCCCTTGTGTCATTTGACAATTTCAGATGGGAGGGGATAGGCGGAAAGTGGATAAATGGTATGCATTTGGTTAGGGAAGTTAGGGGAAGAGAAAGTAGATGAGCTGTGGACCTCCAAGCTCCTCATATATCACTACCTCATTTGGGAGAGCAATTTGTTCTTTTAATGTTTATCAAAACAGTTCTACATTGATATTATGACTATTAAAAGAGAACTTTAAAATCTGTTAGGCTTTGGATGAATTAGGCACTAGAGCTGTCTTTACTCAACATTTGATTGGTGAGCACTCCACTTATTTTGGTTTTAATAGAAAAAATGTCATAACATACAATGATCTATCATCTATAACACAAGTAGGGATTAGGTGTTTTAACTTTCTAGGGTAGAGGCGTAGAGAACACGGGCTCCCTAAGAGCTAGACGTTTGTCCGCGCTTGATGGGAACGTAGTGATTTTTAAAGCATGTTGAGACAGATGAATCCATTCACTACTCCATCCTTCACCCTTTTTTATATGGAAGAAAACCTAAATTTGGTGTTTTGTCCTATAGTGCTTGTGTAATCATGTTGGTTTGATGCTGATTGTGTTTAGCTTCCATTACCAATTTCATTCTCATTTATAAGGGTCATGCACAGTGTTGTGTTTGTACGACATATGCACATCCAGCAATTACAACCTTTAATAACATCTAATTGGTTTATCTTTGTTTTCAAAAGAAACATTTGAGTTTATACAAGTTTGGAACTTTTAGATGTTGCAATTTTAGGGAGGGTGTTCGAATATATAGAAAATATAAGCTCTGGTGTATCCAGTATCCCAAACACATTATACACCAATGAACAGCTTTACTATTTTTTAGAAAGTTCCTACATGAACAGCTTTACTACTCTTAAAATGTAAGCACAATGTTGTTCTTAGTACAAGCAATATATTATTCCTTCCTATTTTTAGTTTTTACATAGTTACTTTTGGCTTTCTGCTTAAGTGACGAGTAGAGACTATTTACCATCCCTCAGGCATTTTAATTCCTCAATTTAAACTTCTATAACATCAATCCATGACTATATCAGTATATTTCATTCGAACCAAGTACCCAATCCCAGTGTGAAAAATACGGAGAATTAAGGGTAATGGAAATTAAAGTGGCCATTGTGTTCTTTAGACCACTTAATGTTAGGAAACCAGGAAGCAAAATGCCCATACAGTGTCTTTAGGCCAAAAATCAAATTGACATTGCTAACACTGATGACTCAGACTACGTACTGCTATATTAGAGTATGATTAGAGAGAAAATTGACCAAACACGGTTTGGACTGATCCAATTGGAGGTATAGTTTGTATCAAGTTTTAGAATTTTAATTAACAAACAAATGAGAGCATCTCAGCTAACTTGTGGTGAGCATCCCGAGATATTAACAAAGTGACATCTTAGTGGTTGTTGTTCAAGTGAGAGTGTGAGTGTGAGAGAGGGGCTGTGAGATGCCTTCTAACCAGCATTGAGAAATTAAACCTCATAGCAACTAATTTCCATTGCCTTTGAGGAAACAGGGAACTTTGGCCTTAATTTTCTCTTTTTTGTTTTCATCCTAGAGTAATCAATCTTAACATGATGAATCTTTGTTGTTCTTCAACCATATTCACGGATTCACCCTTAGTGATTACAGACTAAAGATTAATACTATTGCATTTCCATCTCAGTTTCACCATCAGCATACTGTCACACCCTCAATTATTTCAATTACTTCAATAGGTTTATAAATTGGCATGCTCTTGTCTTTATCATACAGATAAAACCAAAGTTAGCATCCATCAAATTCACTTGCTTCATATCTTTATTACCATGTTCGGTTCAAGAGATTAGGAAGGAAAAGAAAAGAAACGGGATTCTTTCCTTTTCCTCACCAAAATGGAAGGAATTTTGTTTTCCTCCTAATTAGCTTTTTATTCTTTCATCTTCTTTTCTTTTCCTCTCTAACCAAACAAGAAAAATCATTTCCCATATCATTTTCTTTTCTTTTCCCTTTCAAATTCCTTGAACCAAACATAGTGTAAATAACCGTCAACATTTATGAGATTTAGGGCTTAGTTTTATTTCTTTCAACTGATTCTGAGATTTTGATTCTGACAATCAGCTAGGATCAGTCGGTGTCGTGCTTGTTTCAAATTCTGAGTAAGTTGTTGATTCTGCTCACCGCAAGATGATTCTTAAAAGTACAAATACTTCATTCTCCAGAGCATCTAATTCTTAAATCTGGTATATTCTGAAAGGAGAAAGCAAACCAAATGATCCCTTATTTTCTCCCCAAACACCAAAATACAGCTCAATCATATCAAGCCCATCTAAAGCCTACACATAACATTTACAGAGTATATATTCACTGTCCAGTTTCATATTCATACTCAACAAAACATCTAGGGGGAAAAATTAACGAGACTTGGATCGAGGAGGAAACAAATTTGACGTTAATCAACAAATTCTCATACTGTGTGGTTTGTACGGAGTAGTGATGAGAAGAAGCTTACACGCTAAAAGTCCCGGTGACCTTGTCGTTGGCTGAGCGGACGGCGGATTCGAGATCAAAGCCGATGCTGGAGGACGCTTCATCGTCCTTCGCGGCGGCGTACGCGTTCCAGTCCGCTAGTAGGGACGGCGGCTTTTTCTCCAGATCGTTGCTCGGGCCTCCCGTAAACCAAGCCTGTGCTGTTTTATGCATTAATTTTCTCTTTTGCGATGCTTTTTTTTCTTTCTTCAAAATACGACCGGAGCTGTGGGCAGTGAAGGAGTGCTGTAAGTCCCACACTGTAGGGAGAAAGAAAAAATGGATCAAAACATGTTCACCCAACCCCATTAGTATGAGGTTTTTTGGGAAGTGTCCAAAAACAAATCCGTGAGGACTTGACCCAGAACAGACAATATCATACTAATAATATCGTACTAATGCGGGGTTGGGGGAGGGCACACTCCGTCCCAACAGTAAGATGCTATTGATATCGGAAGTTTTTCCCGTCTCCCACTGCCGCACCTCGTTGGAATTTTGGAACCGGAAGCAAAAGAGTCGGTATACAATGCCACACCTTCCTTTGCCATTTTTAGAGCTAATTCCATTCTTTATTGGACCAATGCTTTGAAAACTTAAATGGTTGTCTTTCCGGTTATGGTAACAATGCTCTTTTAAATTAAAATATCTTTCAAATATTATGGTTCTGGAATTTAGTTATTGGTGTTGGCTGATAACTGTTCGTGTTAACTGGTTTGAACGGCTGATTGAGTTGGCTATTTTGACCAATCGATTATAGTAGCTTTCGATATAAAAAATTGTTTGGCAAAATTCGCTTTTTAAAATAGTTTTTATAAATTAAATTGAATGTAATAAAAATTTTACCTATATAATTATATGGTATAACATGCTTTGCTATATATTCCGTATATTTTTTGTTTCCTCACATAAAATCTTAAACTATATATTGTTGTAAAGTCATTATGATTTCATTTATTTATGTGTTTTTATCGATCAATTGATAGCATAATATAATCATACGGAGTATCATATTTTGTTTTCAAAAACTTTAAATGTAGTTCTTAAATATATAATTTTTTTATTTTCACACCAAATTCTCAAAAAGCAATAAAAAAAATATGTTTTTCTTGCAAATTGATTCATGAATTTTACATGGGGAAGGACTATTTATTTACTATTAGTTTATTGATGTATCATTTACTTATTTATTTATTTAGTTGTTAATTGATTTATTTGTTTATTTATTTATCAATTTTTTATTTATATATATTTATTTATTTATCAATTTTTTATTTAATCATGCAACAAATAATAATTTTTTATTTATTCATTAAAATTATATACAATAACAAATAATATATTAAAACCTATTTTCCAACCGCCAAAGCAAAATGCTACTCCCTGTAGCTTTTTAAAGTTTGGCTTTTCGGACTCAAACAGCCAACCTTTGCAGCCAACTACCAAATACCCTTTTTGGCTATTTGATAGGTCAAATCTGCTAAAATTGGTCAAAACAGCCAAAAGCAATCCTAAATGCCAAAAACCAAACATGCCCTATGTGAATAGTATCACTACCCGCTATGGTTTTAGAAATTGGCACAAATATTCCCTCTTTTCTTTATTATTTTTCTTTTTTTCTACTATTTTTCATAATTTTTTTTATTTTCTTTTTTAAAATTGTTTTTTTATAATTTTTAATAATCATTTTTTTGTGTTTGAAATAACAATCAATTAAATAAAAAGAATTAACGTACACTTCATTTGTCTCAAATTAAATATTTTCATTTTTTCTAAAAGATGTCTTTATTGGTTAACTTTCAAGATACAAAAATTATTGAATATTCTTTTTTTTACTTGAGCTCATTTCTTATTTTTATTTATTAATTATACTAATTCTTTTATTTTAATCAAAAATAAAATAAAATAAAAGAAATAGAAAAAGAAAATAAAGAAAAAGAAAAACATATGAAAACACACTTTTATACGGAGTATATTTTAACCAATATTGTCTAACGGCAAACTTGGAAGCAGCCTCCCTACTTTCGAGTAGGGGTAAGGTCTGCGTACACACACCCCCAGACTCTACTGTAGTGGGATTCAACTGGGTTGTTATTGTTGTTGTCGTCTAAAGGCAAAAAAAGAAGAAACTGGAGATTGATGAGATTAGGATAGAAGACGATGAGTTTTGGTAGGTTTGACTTTTACAAAGAAATGGGAGAGTGCAGAGGGAGGCAAGGGATGAAGAGTAAGTGAAGCCCACAGAAGTCTCCCCGTTGTGAATGAAATGTATGTACGGAGTATATTTTTGGGAGAAAATCAAACAAAATACATGGAGTATTAAAATTTATAGATTTTGAATATCTCTCAATTTCTTCTAAAAAAATTTGTATAGAATCTTAATTGAATACACCATCATCAAACTTGTTCTTATTGAAATCGGTTAAAAACGAGATCACATCAAAAATATATTTAAATATAACTATATTATTCAAGGTCACAACATATTTAAATATAACTACATTATTCAAGGTCTGAACATTATTAGAATTAACTATAGGTGTTCAACTCGGTCACTAAGAGAGAGGAAGTTAGTAACCCTGACCACTTTGAGGCACACAGGTGTTCTAGATTCAATGAATGGATCTTTGATGAAGCTATGATTGACCTTGGGTTCATTGGCTAATGTTTCACCTGGAAAAGAGGTATTGATAACGTAAACTTCGATTAGATAGAGTTCTATGTTCGATTGACTGGCTTGACAGGAACACAAAAACAGAAGTTCGCCATCTTGCTTCGAGCAAATCTGATCACTGTCCGATCTTGATTTCTCTAGGAGATCAAAGTGGCACTAGAAAAAGTGGGTTTAAATATCAAGGGGCGTGGGCCACACATCCCAACTTCCTCGACATGATTCGAAGAACATGGGAAAAAGAGGAAAATGTTTGGGAGAACTCTAAGAATATGGCTACTGCTTTTGCTGAATGGAACCGTGCAACCTTTGGGAATATCCACCAAAGAAAGAAGAATTTGAACAAGAGATTGGAAGGGGTGCAACGAGCTTTGGACAACAAGCACCATCCGGGTCTTATCAAGCTGGAGAAGAAGCTTCGAAGGGACCTCGATAATACACTTCATCAAGAGGAAATTTTCTGGTATCAACAGTCTAGGGAGGAGTGGATCACCTCAGGAGATCTGAATACAAAGTATTACCACACTATTGTCAATATAAAAAAAGGCCCGAAGACAGAAAATCCAGCTCAAAGCGGAAGATGGTTCTTGTCTTAGTGACAACGATATGGAGAGAATAGCAAATGATTATTATAGAAATCTCTTCGCTAAGGAAGGTGAAACTAAGCTTAGTGCAGTTCCGAAAGGCAAGTTCCAAATTATTGGTACTGAAAAATGGAAAGAAGTATATAAGCAGATTACCCCTGAAGATGTGAAAACTGCCTTATTCGATATGGCCCCTTTCAAAGCCCCCGGCCCTGACGGTTTTCACGCTGATTTCTACCAAAAAGCCTGGAAAGTGATTGGGGAGTCCGTGTACAAGCAGGTTTGTGATTTTTTAAGCACTAGCTACTTACAAGAGGGAATTAATGATACTTTGGGGACCCTCATCCCTAAAACCGCCAGTCCTGGGAGCATGACTCAGTTCCGGCCGATTAGCCTTTGTAACGTGATTTACAAAATAATCACGAAAACAATGACTAATAGAATCAAGCCCATCCTTAAAGACCTGGTTGGAGCTGAACAAAGCAGTTTCGTTCCAAAAAGATAAATTATGGATAATATCCTCATTTACCAAGAGGTGCTACATACAATGCGTATGGCCCAAAAAGGCAAAAATATATGATCCTGAAAATTGATCTCGAGAAAGCATACGATAGGCTGGACTGGAGATTTATTAAAGACACCCTTGAGGAAGTTGGGCTACATAAAGACTGGGTCCGAAACATTATGACTTACGTTGAAACTGCAAAGCTAAGCATTATTTGGAATGGGCAGCAACTTGAGTGGATCAAGCCGTCTAGGGGAATCAGGCAAGGGGACTCCATATCTCCTTACCTCTTTGTGCTTTGTATGGAGAGACTGAACCATCTCATTAAAGAGAAAGTCCAACAAGGGAGATGGAAGGGGATTCGCACATCCAGGTATGGTCCTCTCTTGACTCATCTTTTTTTCGCTGATGATATGGTTCTTTTTGCAGAAGCCTCTAAGGACCAGATGTTGATCATTAAAGATTGTTTGGACAATTTTAGTCGAGCCTCAAGCCAAAGGGTGAGCCCTAATAAGTCCCAAATCTTTTTCTCCAAACATATGACCACAGAGGAAATTATGGAAATTACTGGTATAGCTGGGATACCTCATACCCAGGACCTTGGCAAGTACCTTGGAGTCCCGTCTATCTATAGGAGGATGACAAACAATATGTTTGGATGTATTCTAGACAGACTTGATGCCAAGCTAGAAGGTTGGAAAACCAAGTTACTTACTTTTGCGGGCAGGCATGTACTTGCACAATCTGTGCTTAGCACCATTCCCTATTATACCACACAAACAATGATGCTACCAGCAGGTATCCTGGAGGGAATTGATAAACGAGTGTGGGGATTCATCTGGGGCAGCACCACTAAGAACATGAGGTGCCACCTTGTTAATTGGGGCCAAGTGATGAAACCAATTAAGCTTGGTGGTCTTGGAATTAAATCAGCCAGGGATATGAACGAGGCTTTTATGGCTAAACTTGGCTGGCGTCTTCTCATCGAAGGAGACAACTTGTGGGCCAAAGTACTAATCTCTAAATATGCAAGACATAGAACGGGAAAGGACATGTTTCAAAGTGTTAAAGGGTCTTCTAATGCATAGAAAGGGATTACACATGCCATGCAATTAGTGAATACTGGCCTTATTCATAAAGTCAACAGAGGTCATGAAACAAAGTTCTGGTTGGATACCTGGGTTGAAGAGAAGCCGCTCATTGATTTCATCCAGGACATCGGAGAGTCCCATAACATGCATGTATCTGTTACCGATATGTGGGACGAAACGAGCGGGTGGAAATGGAACAACTTACCCATTCTACCGGCTAATATCATCTCCCGCTTGCACTCAATGGTGTTGGACACACATTCAAGGATGCCAGATGAAGTGTATTGGAATCAAGAATCTTCAGGTAACTTCTCTATTACTTCAGCATATAATATGATTAGGGGTTTTAACCTTCAACTGCAGGACAATAGTTGGACAATAATATGGAAACTCAAGGTCCCGAACAAGGTCAAAATTCTCTTATGGACAATGAGCCACAATAAAGTGTTGGGAAACGCTGAGCGCAAAAGGAGAGGCCTCACGGTCGATGGAAATTGCCTTGTGTGTAGCGGCCAAGAAGAGACAACTGAGCACATCTTCAAGACCTGCACCAAGGCTACACATGTCTGGAACAACATTGGAGGTAATGTGGATACAAACACTGGTGGTGGCGTCAAGAATTGGATTCACGCAAATCTTTTGTAAAAGAGAAACAACACCATCAATGGTGACTGGGGTATCATTTTTGCCACTGCTTGCTGGTGGATCTGGCGGTGGAGAAATGCTATGACGTTTGGCAGGGAGGAGCTTGACGATAGACGAAAGTCATGTTGGATCAAAGAGGCGGTCAAAGAAACCAACACAGCTTTTGCAAGGCAAGAAATGGTGAGCAATTTTACCAATTATACCGATCACCCGCTTAAGTGGAGGATGGCTCAGAATTGTGAATGGACCCTTAATGTTGACGGGAGTTGCAAATCACTTATCAACAAAGCAGACATCGGCGGAATCCTCCAAAACAGAAGAGGTGAGTGGAAAGGGGGCTTTACGGCTAATGTTAGTCCAAATTGTGCGACGTCAATGGAAGTCATGGCAATTGCTAGAGGCATTGAGTGGGCTTGGGAAAAGGGTGTTAAGGAACTTGAGGTTCAGACAGACGCGAGTGAAGTTATAAAGTGGATGGCCGACTACACTTCTCTTAGGGGCCCTAATCGCGATATCATTGATGAGATAAAGCATAACTGGCAAAGAAAGTTTACAAGGCTTGAGTTCAAAAACATCTTTCGAGAGCAAAACTTTACGACTTGCTACAATTGGAACCTTTCAGGAGGCAAATTGGATAGAGCACGAGGACCCTCCGCCTGGGATGGATGACAATGACATGATGAGTGCTACCAGAGTTCGTAGAGTGCACCTGAGTTAGTTTGGGGTTTCCCCTCCTTTTTGATAAAAAAAAAACTATAGGTCATCTTAGGCACCTCTACCCTGCTACGCTACAGCCGGTATAAATTTTTAACCTATTCAGCATTTCCCTAACCAGAAAGCGGCGAAGCTGAGAGAATGAAGGTAGCTCCCAAAGTGATATTGCTCTTCAACGATTCGCACGGCTCCGGTGCCGCCATCTTCAGCGCTCTCAGGCCACGCCCTAACTCCGACCTTCAACATCGGTAAGCACTCGCAGTCTCGTATCTTCATATCTCCAAACCCCCTCCCGCATGCCGCAGTCTGTTTACGCGCTTCGATTTGCCATTTCCAGCGAAGAACCATTTCAACTGTCACTGGAAAAGTACGGAATCCACGATCTTAATGCTTCTGGAAAGATCCTCCATTTCGAATCTCCCACCGGTGTTTATGTGGTATATATCTTTTTGAAATTGCAGAACAGATACACGCATGCTTTTAGAAATGTGATGAATCTGTTGCTTTTCGTTCCTATTGCTTGATCATTGTTTGTTTGTATGCTTAGATAGTTTTTAACTTTCGTTATGTTTCGTTCACTTGTGTTGGAATTAGCTGGATAGTGTACAATCATTCATGGTCTGGTTCTTCCTTCTTATCAGGTCTCTGTGTTGCTTTTAGAAAGTTACGAGCCTCCAATATTAGCTTGTGCTGTTAGTGAAACTTTGGCTGCACTGGCATCTGGTGAATCATCATCTGTGCCTACAATTGTAGTCCCATTTGTTGTTCCTGGAACTAAGCTGAGGGCAGAGAGTAAATTTTCTGCCACTACGGACAACACTCAAATATATGGGTTGCAGTTTGGGCCGTCTAACGATGAGACTCGGGCGTTGAGCTTGAAATTTCCAAATCCACCGCCGTCTTTACAGATTTTTCATGAGCAATTGGCGTGCTTTCTCCAATTTGTCCGCGTATTGATGTTGCCTACAATAGTGTTGATTGGGAAAACTGGTCAGGGTACACACAGCCTAACATCAGATGAACAACTTCAGGTATAGATCTGATTCTGATGGCAACAAGTCTCATGTTTATAGCCTTTCCCTTTTTTGGTGAAATCTCTTGACAATTTGCTTTAGTTAACTACTCCCCAGTTCACAATATGTCACTTTGGAACAAACCAAGCAGCTTGTGTTAGAAAATAAAACCGATAAAAACTTTACAATATTTCCACTTACTAAGATTTAACTACCATTGAACATTGAATTTGCCGAGGCGTCTTGAAGAGGGTCTAAATGAGAATATAACATTGAATTCTGGACTCTTGGTTTCATAAAACAACACATATTGCGAATAAATTGTCATTATTAGAATCCAAAAAATGTAGATTTGTCTTTGATCATGATGGCTTGCTTTGTAGTATTCTTGTGATCAACAACCAAATATTGTGCAATTGCAGCAAATGAGAATATAATATTGAATTCTGCCTTGGACTCTTGGTTTTATAAAACAACACATATTGCGAATAAATTGTAGTGATTACAATGCAAAAAAAGTAGATTTGTCTTTAATCACGATGGCTTGCTTTGTAGTATTCTTGTGATCAACAACCAAATATTGTGCAGTTGCAGCTGGCCGAGCTGACTGACTTACGTACTGTCAGCCAGTAAGTTATTACAGTTGCTAAAGTAAAGTTAGTGGCTATAAAACCAGCTCTTGTCAGCCTCAGGTTCAGCTGGACAGGATAGATAATGCCTTACATAGATTCTGTTAAAATTTTATCTATAATTTTCGTAAAGGGCTTTACTATCTTGAAAACAATGATAACTGATAAGATAAACAACAAAATTATAGGTAGTACTAGTTAGCTTAGTGGGCAAGGTTTTCATATCATGTAAAGTCATACTGCTCCATTAAGGCTGTCGAAGTCGCATACTCGCATGTTCTCAGCAAGTCAATGCATTTTTTGCCTGTTTGTCCTGTTAAATCGGATGAAATGATAAATCTCCTGAATTTTCTACAAGAACATTTTGCTAAAATATTGACGATGCTCAAATCTGGAGAACTTTTTTTTCTGTCAATGGATTAATACATGCAATTTTTCCTCAGCATCAAGGATGTAAGGTTAAAAAAATAAATTTATCACCACTGCCATGACAAACCTGTGTTCATTGTGAAGGGGTCAAGTGCATTAGATGATATATGATTTTTTGTAGTACTCTAGTAGTAGATCCATGTGTTTTGCAGCCTGCCGAGCTGAATGGCTCAAGTGTTGCCATACAGTAAGTTATTATAGCTGCTACATATCTATGGCAAAACAACCAGCTCTTGCCTGCTTGAGTTCAAGCATGCCAAGATAGATCGTGCCAGACATTTTGTGGTGGCAATGACTTTGACATCAGAAAGTCATTCTTCGACTTACCAATTAGAGTCGAAGGTAACATTCGAGAAACAATAATGATATGTACTGTAATTTATTCTAATATGAATTTACATTTTTACACTACACATGCACTTGATTACATTACCATATGTTGCGTTATGACTTATCATATTGACTGCCTAAGTTTTTATCAACTGCTACATGCTTTTCTTGTTCCATCATTAGTGTGGACGAGCACCATATTAGCACTGATTTTGAAGCAACCCATCTTGGCAGTGACATTGGGGTTAATGTACTTAACTTTTCCTTTGTTGTTATGCTTGGTAGGCTATATATCAGATTGGGGAGCATCTGGCCAGCTTCTCGCCACTTTGTTTATCGAGTGAGAGGATCACATTGGAGTTTTCGGTGAAGGTTAGTAGGGAGAATGAAGAGCCTTGGCGTGCCCTGTATGGTTGAATTTTGAAAATTGTTTTGTTTCAGGCTTTTATTGACCATGTTAAACTTGTTTGAATTTACATAGTAAAAGTATCTGTTGATATGTAAACAATGTTGTTTAAATATATAAACATAAAATATTGTCTCCTAGCTTTATTGTGTATGTTTCTTTAAAAACTACATTGTGTACTACGTATGTCTTAAATCTGTTGTTAAACTGGTCTCTGGTAACTGATAACGGTAACTGATAATTACTTATATGCCCAAAAAAATACTTCACCCCTTTCTTTTTGAAACGTTTGACATTTCTTGGTTAAAGTATAAACTTGGATCTCGATATATGAAAAAAAAACATACTTTATTTCGATATACATGTAATATCAATAGTTTTTTTTTAATAAAATGTAGTTTTGAAAATCTAAATTTTTATAAAATATATCCATGTATAGATGTAGATAATATCAATGATCAAAGTGTTATTCTGGAGATTGTGATTGTTCAAACGGGAAGAAACAAAGACAATGTTTTCGAAATGCAAAATCAATGGAGAGTACTGCTTCAATTTTGAAGGAAGTATTGTTTCAAAGAATAATGCTTCCTCCTTTGTTTTGGTCAAGTATGCGGGTATAATTATCTAATAAAGTTAGTGGTACACTAAAATGTGTAACAGATTAACACATACAAATGAGAAAGTACAGACACAATCCGTCAGTGATATACAAATACATAGTATTTGTGTCTCAGTGTTTGTTTGGTGTATAAATAAGATACATCATATTGGTATATCTCTAGCATGACCTATAATTTTCAAACTCATGATGAGTAATGTTAGGGACATACAAAGTTACTCTAGCACTCATCCAACCACACATTTTTATTCATTCCTCTAATTTTGTATTAACACTTAAAAGTTTATTGTGGAGAGGGTGTTAGGGTATACTAATGGGCACAACTTGGTGTAACGAAGTATTTTTGAAGTCTTGAATCTTGACTTCCGCATGGGGAGCTCAACCCATCGAAGGAGAGGATATCGAGCCCGTTGATCTAAGAGTCGAATCTCAGCAGCGACAGTGTGAAAATTCTATTATTTGGAATAGCTTTTTGTGTGCATCGGGCACGAAGCGACCTCTCTAAGGACCAATCTGAGATTTTACCATGATTTAGGCTTCTCACAATTCTGTCAGGTCAGGGTGTGGGAGTGCCCGTAGTGGACGTTCCACTTTTTTAAAATCTTGGTAGCTGCTGAAATTATTGTACGATATGGATTAGTAAAGTGCCCCACTTGATTATTACGGAGTACTTTAGACCTGTTCAAACAAGGGTCGGCTCATCCGGCCTGCCCAGCCCGCCCTTTAAAAAGGGCAGATATGGACAACCTTTAATACCCACATGAGCGGGCCGGCCCGAGCCCGAATTGTATTTGGACGGATGTGGAAGTTACTTTTAGCCCATTCGGGCCAACATGCCCGCCCATATTCATAAAAAAATATTCACTTTATTATTAATTATCTAGCCAATATAATTTTGAAAATTGTTATAGTTCATGTAATGGTTCAATTCACTCACCTTTTTTAAACAAAAATCAATATTCTTTTAATAAATTAGTATGATGAGTTTATTAATTATACAATAATACCTCTGTTATGTTTTCTATGCAAATTTGGTGAGTGGTGATTTTATTTTAAACATTGAAAAAAGAGTTCAATGTTTTTTTTTGGATTTTTTTGTGTAAAAAAAGTTTTCTTGGTGTTTTATCCGGGCCGGGCGGCCCGGTGGGTAGTTCGGCCCGCTAAGGTGGACGGGTATGGGTAAAGAGTTTAGCCCATCAAATTCGGGCCGGGCTAGACCCGCTCATGTAAATGAGCTAATAATTTGTATCCAGTCTGGATCCTTATTTGTACAGGTCTAGAGTACTTAATTTTATTGTCTTTGAACTTGCTATGGAGTGTTTTATTTCAGTTTTTCTTACAAATAATTTTTATTTTAATTTCTCTCTTCTTAGGAGATGATAAAAATTAAAGTAAAAATTGTTTGTAAAAAAAAGAAGGTAAAAGTGACATGTCCGTCATTATGAACCAACGTGGCAGATCTAGGAATATGACATGGGCACAAGTAGGGTCGGGGTTTGCAGGTAGCACCCCTGTTTTTTTCCAAAAGCAATTTAAAATTATGATGAAAAAAAGAAAATTTTTTATACTCTGTTTTACGAAATCATTTAATTTTTTTCTAAACTAATACTCCTTCAATACTAGAAAAATCTTCCTGTTTCTTTGTCAAACTTTGACCGTCTTTAACTACAAAGTATGTACTCCGTATAATTTAATAAATAAATATTATAAAAATTTGATATATCAAAACTATATTCTAAAATTAATCTAATTATAGGAGATTTACATAATAATTAAAAGATATTTTTTTTCATAATTTTCTGTCAAAAAGTGTCATAATTTGAGAAAAAATTTAAAAAAAAAAAGAATTGTAAGCAAAGGGGTTGATACCACTACCTTGCTCCCAAATAAGTAATAGAACCAAATCTTCTCATTAAAGTGAGTATTGGTTTTGTGTTAATAAAAATGAGATAGATATTAATTTTTTGAGTTTAATATATTTTTGATCATTGTAAAATATTTTTTATTAAGTTATCTTAATATCCTTACAATTTTTTTATTTTTAAAATGGTTTTATAATTTTTTTTATTTTGAAATCAAAATTTACTAATTTTGACAAAAAAAGTTAAAGTAATCAAATTATGGAGGGAGTATTTCACTTAAAGAGAAATTTACCTAAATAGGACTAAAACATAATGACTTTCCCAATGTAGGACCATGTGTTTTTATTTCCCAATGTAGGACTTTTGGTCATTAACAAGTAGTCATTATTCAAGTTAATGTCTAGTATTACTGGACATTATTTCTCCACGAGGTTATTATTTAGTGAAATTTGCACTGAATAGGACTAAAACATAAGTCTTTTCCCTAAACTTTTTTATTCCCTAAATAGGACTCAATAATGACCAGTGAGAAGAATAATGTCCAAGTGATGCTGGACATTTAGTTGAATAATGACTAATAGATAATGACCAATAGTGCTACATTGAGAAATAAAAACATACAGTCCTGAAAAAGTCATTATGTTTTAGTCCTATTTAAGTAAATTCCTATGTTATTTAGTCGTAGCAAATTTCACCTGACTATATTCCGTCCTATCAAAAGTGGGATTAGAATCGGAGTATCCATCCAAATATATACTCCTCCAGTCCTCCGTATTACTCCGCAAAAAAAAAACAAGGAATTAGATCGGGAATAGCTGAACGGAAAAGAGACCTCTCCCGACCGCCGCGCCACCACCGCCTTTCGGCAATCAACTGGAGGAAGTGGAAAAGCCTAGTGGCCGTTCTCGGTACGCGCCCCGACCGCCTGCACGCCGCCACAGCGAAACATCACCTGTCACCGGCAAAGGAATTGTGTAAGGTTAGTAAATAAAAGTCATTTGGAATTGTGTAATTTTTACTGCAAATTTTTATGACGTGTGAATTTTTATGCAAATATCTATGACATTTATCGTTTCTCAGACATACTTCGTGACATGTGTATTTTTACTGCGAATTTCCTTAGATTTATCACTATATTTTTTTTGCAAATCGTTATAACAAAAAAATATGCACAGGATTGCTCTTCACCCAGTACAGACAATGGTTTTTTTTCCAAACAATGAATATGACTATATATGGATACAAGTTTCTATGCAAGTTATCTACACTTCTTATCCTCAATCAAATTTATAGATATGATTTTAGTTATTCACTTTTAAAAAAAATCTCAGTTAAAAAAAGCGAGGTAAAAATGCCAAATAGTATCATATGTTTTTCTTACATGAAATTTATGTTTAAAATTCTTCAATTGCGCAGGACCAACCTTAGCTTGATTAATGGTTATGATGAGGATTACAGAAAAGAAGCAGCAAGTTTAAAGAGATGTATTGTTGCTGCCTGAGGACATGATGATGCTTATACTATCAAAGCTTCCTCGAAAATCCCTTATTCGTTTCAAGTGCGTCTCGAGAGCGTGGTTCCACTTGATATGCACAGTGTGCAGACAATATTACCCCAACAAGTCTTCGCCTTGCCATTTGATGATAGTATCTCAACATCAACAAAGTCACCGCACCCACCGCTTCTCTCTTATCCATCTCCCCAAGGAGGCGAAAGAAGAGACTTCTTTGCTGCCATTGCCCGATGCCTTTGACCTCAAACTTCCATTCTTCCTCTGCCGTCCACATCCTGGCAAGAAAATCCTCTCTTCCAATGGCCTCGTGTGTTTTTTCTTCAACGAAGACGTCTGTAACTATGCCTTCAATCCCATCACATGCCACATCCTTAAGCTTCCACACATTCCGTACCACACTTGCAATGTGTCTTTCAATGCGGGGTTTGGGTACCTACCCCGGAGAGACGAGCACAAGATTGTGGTGTGGTTTGTTCGGGACGACTTGAAAATGTCACACGCAGCATCGGGATGTTGGGTTCTCAGTTTGAAGAAAAGTATCAATGGAACAATCGCAGTGGTGGAATCTTGGAGAAGACTAGGAGTGGACTCGCCACCCGTTGCAGCCTCGTTCTCGGACTCCTTTTGCGTGAATGGCACCATATATTGGCTATGTAGTTACGCCAATGAGGGGACGGCACAGAAACAACATTTGTTGCTTTCGTTTGATTTGGATGAGGAAGCATTCCAGCTTAGGCCTCACCCATCTTTCCCATTAACTGCAAAGATGGTCGAGATTGAAGGTTCCTTGTGTGTTGGAGAGTTGGGGTTCTGCGACGGTCATTACTTCGTCCTGTGGGAATTTAAAAATGGTGACTACTGGGTGATGAAACACGAGGTTAACGACTTTTTTCATCTTGGTCATCGTCGTCGTCGTTTATCATTTCTTGCTTGTACGCGGTCCAAAAGCGGTGCGAAGCAACTTGTTTTCATGGGGGATGACGAAGCCGGCGGTGGTCATGGGAGGAGGCTACTTTCCTACAACCTCCAATCACAAATTCTTCGAAGGTCATCTGAAGATCTGCAACCGCTCCTGGGTGACGATGGCCTATATTTTCTCTTTTAATTCTCATCCCTTTATCTTATACTTCCTCCGTACTAAAATTAACTTTCCATTTGACTTTTTACGGTCTCCAATGCGACCCTTTGACCATCAATTTCTCAATTTCTATATAAATATATTTTATAAAAATTATATATTTCAAAACTATGTTTCAAAATGAATCTATTGCTAATAAATTTATATGAAAATTCAATATATTTTTTCTGTAATATACAGTCAAAGTTTATTGTGTGCACCAGAGTCTCTCGAGTTGTCTATTTTTTGTTATACAGATACTCTCTCCCCCCTCCTTTTAAACTTCATGTTCGTGTGTGTGTTCAACGAAACACAAACAGGAGATGTAAGAGGAAAGAAAAAATTATATTCCATTCGTCCCGAAAAGATTGTAATTTTTTTTCTCCTCTCGATAAGTTTTGTTTATTTGTGTGTTTTCATTGAATATTTGATAAAATAAAATATTCTTATCACATTTGTTTTGTAGAACTTTTAACGGAGTTTTTAATATGTAATTTTTGTTTCTTATTGATTTACCAATTTGTAATTAAGATAATTTTAAAAGGCGAGAGATTTTGTCTCGTAACTCCCAATTTCTAATCAAATTAGGGATGGAGGGAGTATAAACCAAATGGAATACTCAAAGTACAAATCATATATATCATTATTATATTTTAAATCCTAAAAAGTATTTTAGACATATAAATCAATATAAAGAATTTAAAAAATGCTTAAGTTTTGTTTGAAAATATAAATTAAAAACGAGGCAAAAGTAAGATACTTATACTCCCTCCGTCCCAGAGTATTTGTCCACTTTCATTTTTACACATCATCCAACGTACTTCTTTAATCCATTTTATCTCGTAATTTGTATATTAAAAAAATATAGAAATTATATATTAATAATCTATATGTTAATACAAATCAAACAAGAACACACATGACTATATTTAGGCTTACACATTGAGAGAATTTGATGAGTCAAAGTGCTTAGATGAACAGTTCCAAAAGTCAAATGTAGACAAAAATAGGGGGATGGAGGGAGTATAATTTTATTAAAATTTTGTTTGAAAATGTAAATTTATACATTAAAAACGAGTAATAAAGTGTATGATTTTGAAAAAATATTACTTTACGGGTTGGTCGGGTCGGGTTTGACTCATTTTGAGCGAGTCATTTTGGGTTTGGTCAATTTTGGGTTTGGTAATCAAAACCTTTGTTCAAAATCCAATATTTTAAAGTCAGGTTTCGGGTCAAAAATAGGATTTTTTGCTAGGTCTACTTTTTCATACCCTACCAGCCTAATACTTTTTACTCCGTATTCAATAATTAATAATTCATCACATTTTATTTTTACTTATCACAATAAAGACAAAGTTGTACTCCCTCCATCCCAAATTATTTGTCACGTTTCTATTACCAAGGCAAAATATCAAGTTTTTTCAATTCATTTTATTTACATATTGGTTAAGAAATAAAAAATAAAAATTACATATCAAAAAACTACATGAAAAGCTCTTTGAAATAGGAGGTGTCAAGAATATTTTATTTTATCAAATAACCAATGAAAACGTTGAAATAAACAAAAGTCCTGCGATTGTTGAAAAAAATAAATGTGGTAAATAATTTAAGACGAGGAAAGTATGTTAACTCAAGGTTAACACTTCTTTATTTTTATATTTGGTCAAAATTGAAACCTACCTTTTTTAGAAGGGGGGGAGTAAAAGATATTGGACATTAATGACATTATAATTTGGACCTATCCGTACCCAAATTGACAAGAGGATTCTTGAATCCAATACACGGAGTTGTAAAAAAACAACAAAAATTGAGAGTCAAACATGAATACAAAATTCATATATGATGAGCAGTAAAGAAGTTTACAGTAAAAATGGGAATAGGGAGCTTTCAAAATCATAATCCTCCCCCTCTGTTTACAAAGAGAAATTGTTCCAAACGAATTGAATTGAATGTAAAGAATGAATATAAAAAGTGCTCGAACAAGAAAGAAAGAAAGAAAGAAAGAAAGAAAGAAAGAAGTGGCAAATGGTACGAGGCGCGGCTCAAGCTCCCGCCGCCGCCTCCTCCAGCTGGAAGTATTCCGGGTTGGCTTCCGCAAGGCGATCCCATATGTAGCCTGTTATGAACTCCTGCTCGGCCAGGGCATGGTTGATGACGCTGGCTTTCTCCGTCATCCCATGGCGGATGAATTCTTCCACCAGTTTCCTTGCATCTTCCACGTCCTTCCCCGTAACACCCCTTTTCTGCCGAACAGAAAATTTTTCCCCTTTGACCCAAGTCCAATCACCTCCCATTTTAAGCCTCTCTCTTTTTCTTCTCTATGTACACCAAAATTTGTACACTCAAATCTCTACTCTATTTTTTTTTGTCTCAAAAGTTTGCATAGACATTTTATTATGCTAGTACGATAGTTTACCTTCATAAAAAATATTGGTATAATTCTTTTTTAATGAACTAACATTTTGTTCCAGGTATACTCCTAGCATGATTATATTCTTTTTTCCTTTCTATTTCGTCATCTTTGTACGGAGTAAAAGTTAATATTGACATTATAGAAAAATCATATTCCCTTCGTCCCTATTCGATTACAAAATGAAAATTATTTTTTTCACTGAAATAATTTGATGTGTGTATCTATAAATAGGGGAAGGTTCTCATGACATTAGGAACCAATGTCATAGGATGACCCGGGAGCGCTCCAGTGCCCCGTTCGTAAAATTGACGGTTCCTACACCCCTAACCCCCCGATAAACCCCCCACCCCACCCCGACCCGAAACACACACCCCACCCCCTTCAATTACACCCCACAAGTCGATTTTGACTTTGGAGTCAAATTTTGACTCCAAAGTCAAAATCGACTTGTGGGGTGCAATTGAAGGAGGTGGGGGGTGTTCGGGTCGGGGCGGGGTGGGGGATTTACCGGGGAATTAAGGGGGTAGGAACCGTCAATTTTACGAACTGGCAGGTCATCCCATACATTTTAGGAACAAGGTGCTATAAATATTCCTTCATATCAAAACTGGACTTGACTTGAGTATCCGCCCAACATCCCTATTCCCGTTCGTCCAGAATTCGGAACACTCTGTATAAAGGAATAGAGGACGACCAACCTTAGACCAAATCACCGTTCGTTCGCCACCAGCGACCTCTCCCGACCGCCGTGCCACCACCGCCAGGGGTCAATCAGCCTGAGGATCTCCAGGAAGAGAAAAAGTCCTAGTGGCTTTCCACGTACCCGCCCAGACCGCTCCAACCGCCCGCACGCCACCACAACAAAACGTCACCTGTCACCGGCATAGGAAGCTGCGCTCGACGGCTGCAATCCGATTCGGATCTTGCGCCATATTTTTATCCAAAGAGGTTAGTACATAAATGTAATTTGGAATATAAATATTCGATTCGTTTTGCATTTAGTTTAATATTGTGAATTCAATAAATTGCTTTGTTTCATATTTGATTTGTAGTGTGGCAATGGAAACAGTGCTATTAATATTTTCTGATTTATGAATTAGGGTGCAAAGATATTACAAAAACCAACTGAGATTTAAATCAACCTTTGTACTCCGGTAACAAGTAGTTCCTTATTATGGATGCTTTAACAATGAGTTAAGAGATGAACAAAGCTTTGAATTTGAATGTTTAGAAGGAAATTTCAGAAATCACTTCCACTGCCATAATAATTTTATAAATCATGGAAATGAAAAAAAGGAGGGAGTATTTTGCAACGAAATCACATCTAGGCGGCCGGTGTGTTTATCCTTTTTACTCGTGTTTTGTAGATCAGAAAACAAGACGAAGGCCGACCAGTTAGCAGCATTATAATCGGATCGGAATAAGCATAAAAAGTTATGATCAGATGAGCATCACAAGTTCGATCTAGACTGGAATCATGAGAACCAACAACAACAATATTAACAACTTCAGGTGGTGGTCGTGTGATCATCGGTACCTTCTCATCGTAGCTGCCCTGACCTTTATCTACATTCAGGTCTTGTTTCTGTTCTCCTTTCTCCTCAGCCCTAATTTCCCCCTTCCACTGCCATAATAATTATTTCTTCCTTCATTTTCTTATGTTTCAACTCGAATTCATTATGTTGTAGTATGCAATCTTTTTTCATTTCCATGATTTGGGAGCTATTTTTGCTGTTTAAATTGCATTTCTCTTTCTCTATTGTTCTGAGAATTCCTCCATCCCCGGCTACTAAGCTGCAATGTCGAATTTCAGTAAATTTCCTTTAGCCATCTTTAAGAATAATACTCCGTAGCTCATAGTCTGATATTCTTTCCTCCCTCAGATGCGGCTTTTTGCTACACAATCTCAACATGCTGACCGGCTTGCAGCTGCAGTACGTCTTTCCTGCTTTTTGTTCCTCCTTTAGTATTCTTGAAATCACATACATCCACATGAATTTTTCAAAGTTAGATTTTTGCGGCCCCTAACATGGATTCTCGTAGATAGATGCAGAAAACCATTGCACAGGTCAGATGCGATCACTCATTGACCAGATTAGTCTGCAGCAAGGACGAATTACGGCGCTTGAAAGTCAGTACTTCTTTCTCTCTTTTGTTGGCTGAGTGTTGCAAGCTTTACTTCTTTTTACCTTTTCATTTTGATTCCATTTCCATTGATTCTTTAAGCTCACCATTTCCATTGGTTCTCTGCACTCAAATCATGCCTTGTGTACGTACTACTCCCTCCGTCCGGAAATGTTCTTCCCATTTGACTTTTTACGGTCTCCAAGATTACACTTTGACCACTAATATCTTTATTTATACATGGATATATTTTATAAAAATTTGATATTTGAAAACTATATTTCAAAATGAATATATTGTTAGGAATCAGAGATCAGAGGCGGTCAAGTGGAAGCGAACAAACACACACACAAATAGCAGAAAATAAGAACACGAGATTTAACGTGGTTCGGTCAGCCTACTCCACGGGTTGCAACTAGGGTTTATCTGTTATTAGGTGCTCACAGACTATAGTTACATGATTGGGTATTTATAAGATATAAATTAGGGTTAACAACTTGCTAAACAAGAAACAACTAATGGGCCCTTTAATTAATAACTAAAACTGCCCCCCATATTTCTTCCCTTTAACCAACCAGGCTTAAAGCCCAATGCTCTAAAGCCTTCACTGAATAACCCAACAATCTCCCACTTGAAGGATTTTGCATAGACACAAATGCCATCCAAGTAAACCCATCATGAGTAACTCAGTAATCTTCACTGTCAAGTCTTCCAAGCCTCCAGTTCTTAAGAACAAGCTAAGACCCCAGTTATATCCCCTAGTTACAACCACCCCCTCCATTAATATCCTGAAAGGACAGTTGAAGCTCCACCGAGCTCCAACCCAGTCGTGACTGTATCAGCCACAGCCTCTGTCTCAACCGGCTTGCACAATCCACCAGATCCAGAGATACACCGAGGATCATTACCACTCTCCAAATCCAGCAAACTATTCCCAGGAGAGATTTTAACGTTCGGATTCTTGGTCCTCAAAACCCAACGACGTTTCAGAACTGTACTCGGAACACGTCCCATGCTCCCACTATCACGAAACCCCTGACCTGATTCAGACCTCCGAACACACTCAACTATCATCCCCAAAACTCCAAGATTCACGTTTGCAAAATGAAGCCCGACTTTGTTAACTGTCTTTACCGGGTTGGTCACTCCCTCAGACGTCACCGGTACCATGTATAACGATCCTCTTTTCAAGCCTCGAGCAATAACCAAATTTCCTTTGATCACCTTCCATTTTCCACCACCAAACTTGACGTCTAGTCCCTGTTCATCCAATTGTCCGACTGAGATCAACTTTGTCTTCAGTCTTGGAATCACCCTGACATTTTGTAAGCTCCAAGTAGTTCAAAATGAAGTTTTTAGATCAATATCTCCCATTCCTGTCACTTTAAGGATTTTCCCGTTACCCAACTTTACCTTTCCAAAGTCTCCCTTTTTGAGATTCACCATCGCCTCACCGCTGTGCATGGCGTGAAACGAAGCACCGGAATCCATGACCCAAGAGTCAACATAGCTTTCCATGCTGAGTATCAATGCATCACTATCATCATCAGATGCATTCCCAACAACTGCGCTAATTT